ATAAAGTAAATAATTTTTGTTTTTGTTTTATTGCAGTTTTAGTGAAATTATATATCATTATACTTATAATGATGTAAAATTAATTACATATCATTGTATATATTAAATATAACTGTTTATAAAAAACAACAATTATAATTAATAATAAATATTAATAATCATTTATATATTTATAAAAAAAACAATTTTTATAAATTTTATAAACGCTTATATTAAGTAAATGTTTCGAACATGTACTTTAATGTGTAAACAAAATATAATTACTTTTAAAACTAATATACTTGTGTTTGAAATAACGCGCGGCGATTACTTTCGCGCGCGTGTATCGATGATGGCGTGACAACAAATCTCGTCTCATTTGAATCACCTTATCCCAAAACTTTCATTTTCAATCAAAGATATTATATTTGTAAACTATGTTACAATAAAAGTTAAATAAATAAAAAAAAAATTAAAATCTAATATTATCATATTTCTTGTTAAGATAAAATTGCAATCAGGAATAAACCGATTAAATAACTATAAAGTAGAAACAAAAAATCTACTCGCCATGTCCAATTTTAGAAAAGTGCTTGTAAACATCACATGCGATGATTTTGATAAAAAGCTGTTTTAAACGTGACTAGCGCAATAGCAGCAACTTATACATTATAAAGAAGAATATTTTCTTGTATTTAGGAAGAGCAAGATATTAGCTGTGTAAATGCTAATTCAGTGTGAACAACTAGACCTATCGAGATTTATTAGGACACGTTGTTTCAACGCGATGCAACTACCTAGAAAAATGTATATATATATATATATATATATATACATATAATATACATTATATATTTATAGAATTTAATCTGGGAAATATCTATTAAAGTAAAACATTTCTCACACAATGACAAGGCACAAGTCTACTGACCGAATAATCATTTAAAAAAGTACTTAATTTTAATAATGTATTTACATAAGTAAAGTTAAAATAATATTTAAATTCTACTGACTGAGAGAAAGAGAGAGAGAGAGAGAATAATCATTTAAAAAAGTACATAATTTTAATAAAATATTTACATAAGTAAAGTTAAAATAATAT